AATTTGAAAAATTTTTATTATAACAATAACACTCAATTCACCAAACAAAGTAAAATTATGACCGTACAACATAACAAAATAATTGGAAATTAAATTTGCGATATATTCCGAGCAATACTAATACTAATACTATAACCAATTACCGTATTTTTCCATGATTTTGACATTCCGGCCGTGTACCGTACAAAGAGTCAAATTACTGTATGACCCGGACCGGAACCCTATGGTTGACAACGCTGTGGTGGACATTTATGTTAAAATTTACAATCAAAAAGGTGCACGAGTAGGAACAATTCATAACACAAATTCACGATGAATACCTACGACACATAAATTTACAAACAATAATAACTCAGATGACATACAACGGTAACACTGGTTGACTAGGTAAGATGCTGGCTGGGGCAGCCAAATGTATTTAATGTCCACATGATTTTTTAATTACTGTCTTATCTTAGTTAGTGTTTTACCGGCATATTAATAAGTACCGTTAGTAATAAAAAAAGAATAACATATTATTCGTTATTGCTACAATGGTAGCGTTTTAATTATGAATATTGGGTATTCGTTATCAAAATAATACATAATAATCTTAGTGAAGGATTTAAAATTGAGTTTATGGAACATAAACGATTACTCTGTTTAAACGTTATAAAATTTATTTGTAGTATAATAATAATTATTAAGAGTAATATTTTAGGTTTAACTTTTTAGGTTATCATTGCTATTTCAAAGACAGTACAAGATTTTACATTGTTCTATATAAAATATTATATTTATATTATAATAGTTATTGTTTCAAGTTATTAATAAAATATTGTATTTCATAGGAATATCCATTATGCCATTTGAAGTAAATAACGATTGTAAGTAAATTAGCACATATTTATATTCTATAACATGTTTATATTAGTTAAATATCTTTAGGCAGGTTTATCATGAGATATTCATTAAAAATTACGTTTATACATTTAAAAGTTTGAACATATAAGTTCGGACATATAAAATTATATATATAATGTATTTTTTTTAGTAAATATCTTTGCCGAAAATATAAGAAGTAAATAATAATTTCATTTATATATCCACTGGATATTACTAAAAATTATTATATTAACTCTTTTGTTATTTAGTTATCGATAGGACTTCACCTTATAATGGTAAGAAGAGGAAATGGAATTAGTATACATAGAATTTTTTATTTAGATCTTAATGTGGCTTTGAGTTATAGGCTAATTTTTCTTAGAAATTTATTTGTTTAAAAAATGTTTAATTTGACGACCAATTTTCTCATAGTGGAACAATAATTCTTAATTGGATTTTCATACTATGCATACCAAAGGAAAGTTTATTGTCTAAAAAAAATTAACATAAAATGTATTTATTTTTAGCTACTGACACCAGAGAAGTTACAAGAAGTAAATAATAATTTAATTGATTTATATGCACTTAATTATATTAAAAGTATATTATTTTAACTTATTTGTTATTTAGTTATGAACGCGATTGCAAATAATATTGGTAAGAGGGGAAAATGGAATTAACATACATAGAATTTGTTATTTAAATCTCAATATGACT